CCTAATGCAGCTAAATCTTCTCCGAATTTCTGTTTTCGATTCGTAAATTGAAAATAATAATTTTGCGAGGATAAATTTTCCCCAAAACGTAGCTCTAATCGCGCGAATAAATTTTCAAATTGAGAGTTCTACAAAATCCGTGCCCCCTTCCAAAATCGCACGCGCTTTTCCTCGGAGACATGACGCTAATACAACAGCCTTTTCCGCGTTTCCCAAATTATTCGCCCGCGCAATTAAATTAAACTGCGTAAGATATTCGCGCAACGGAACACTACCGTCGTAAATATCGGGCTTAAATTTCAAGTCGGAATTAAAATTTGAAAAAGGAAATGACTGGCCTGATATCGGACGTTGCGAAATCTCTTCCTGCGGACCGGGCATTGAAAATGTTTCTGTCTCTCGATGAGCGCGCTCCTCCCTCAGAGAGCGAAGCTCCTCCAGCGTTAAGCGAAGAATCTCCTCCAAGTTCGGAGACGCCTCCGGCCCTTCCGCTCGAGTACAGGCCCTTTTTCTCGCAGAGATTACTCTCCGACTTTTCGCCTCTTCCTGTCCAGTCCCCGTCTCTTCTGTTTGTCGCTCCGCCATTATCTCTCACACACACACACACGAATCGAAAAATTCGATCCCGGAGGGGCCCCCAAAATTGTCGCGTTCGCGGCGTTACTTCCCGTGATCGCGATACTCGGCGGAGCGCTCTCGGAAAAGAAGAACACTGTTTTAAGAAAGACTCGCTCTTTATTAAACCAACGGTACAGAAACGCGTCCGGCCACCGAAGAATCCGGCCGTCAAATCTGTAAAACAGTCGGAGAACGACGCGTTGCCAAGGGCCGATCCTCTATTCAACTCTTATCGATTGATATTGATTTTCTTTTAGCAACGCCGAACGGAATACCGCACGGCCGCAACAATATCATATTATATCTCCTTTATATCGTTCTTTTGTTTTCAATCATAGATTCTGTTCAGGGTCATAAAATTCGTCCTTGATTTCTTCATCTTTGTGTTTAGTTGAAGCATGTGCATTTATAATACTTAGATTGAAAAATTTACTTTTTATGCGTAGCACACAGATTCTTTCGTTTACAAGGACAAAGTCTAGCACCAGATTTTTAATTCTCTTATCTACAATGAAAACGTACTAAAAATGTGCTTTTGGTTATAAAAAAGGCAGCTATAATAAAGGTTAAACTCCTTCTTTTGGAATATATTTCCCGATCCATCGAATTTCCTGAATTGCTGTTATATCAGTCCTATATTTCTTCAATTCTTCGACTAGCATTCTCAGGGTTCCTGGTCGATATAAGGAGAGTACATTCCAAATAAACAGGTTTATGTTATGTTTCCTAAATCGTTGTCCTTCTTCTTGCCATTTCGTTGTCATACAGATACTGTCTGGCTATTTCTCCTTTGGCCTTTTCAACAATGGGGCTTTTACAGGGCCGGGGTGTTAACTCAGCGTCCAAGCTTCTTCCTTCATTCGGGCTTGGGACCGGCAGGAAGACTTATTCATGACAAGCCATTCGGGCGGAGTTCTCTTAAAAAACTTATTGGACATATTTATTATATCACATATTGTATCTGTATTTTTTACTAATAGTATTTATATCATCTGCACACGCGAGATTCTATATTCTTAACCTAGCTAATTTTGTTCCACCTATCCTTCTTTTTTCCAACATCTCATCTAAATTTGCTATTTATAAGTTAAACAGGAGTGGACTCAATACACATTTGTCTTCTTCGTAATGTCCAATCCTTTCGACTTTCCTTGTTCTGTTCTGATTACAACCTCATTTACCTCGTAGATCTTGAGTTTTCTTATTATATCTTCCTTCATTCTACTATTATACCTTACTCCCTTAATATCTTCTATAGTGCTTCCTTATTGATATTATCAAAAAGAGGTTTTAAGGTTCGCAGATAAGATGTATACTCTTCCTACCTTACTTTCTTTATTTCTGCCTCTTTGCATCAGGTTTAACACAAATATATTGTCCATCATAGATTCCCTTCCTTTCCCGTCTAGCTTTTTGGTATCATGTCTTTTCGTTCTACCTATTCCTTCATCTTTTTTCTTAGCACCTCCGTATAAACTTTATGCGAGGGTAATCTGAAAAGTTTTGAGCCTAACATAGAAACAAGTATTTTTTCGGTCAAATATAGTTTTATTTTTCAACATAATCTCCTTTCAAGTCGATACACTTTTCTCATCGATACTTTAACCTCTTTAACCCCTCCAAATAGTAATTGGCGTCTTGCTCCGCAAAATAGGCATTTACATATGCGATGACCTCCTCGTTCGATGAAAATCTCTGTCCTCCAAGCGAAACTTTAAACTTAGAAAACAGGAAAAAGTCGCTGGGGGCCAGATCTGGTGAATACGGTGGGTGGTCAATCAATTCGAAGTGCAGCTCGTGAATTTTGGCTATGGCGACCGCCGAAGTGTGAGCAGGTGCGTTTTGATGGAACACTTTCTTCTTCTTCAAATGCGGCCGTTTTTTTGCAATTTCTGCCTTCAGCTTATCAAATAATGATGCGTAATACTCCCGTTATTGTTTTACCTTTTTCAAGATAGTCGATACACACAGTTCCGTGACTATCCCAAAAAACAGTCGCCATTATCTTCCCAGCTGATGGAACCGTCTTTTTCGGAGCAGGTTCACTCTTTGTAGTCCACTGTTTTGACTGTTCTTTTGTCTCTGGAGTGTAATGGTGGATAAGTTTCATCTACAGTTATGAATCGACGCAAAAAATCTGACTCGTTTCACTTGAACCGCTCCAACAGGGCCTTGAAAATGTTCATTCGAATTCGTTTTTGGTCCAAAATGAGAAAGCGCGGCACCCAATGCGCGGATAACTTGCGCATATCTAATTCTTCAGTCAATATATGACACACTTTTTCGATATGTCCATAGCCTCTGCTATCTCTCTTGATCTAACCTTGATTCGACGATCGTTCAATACCATTTGATGAACATTTTCGATGTTATCAGCGGTGGTCGCAGTTTTTGGCCATCCCGAACGCTCATTATCAGCCAAGCTAGTATGACCACGTTTAAATTCAGCTACCCATCTTTTTACGGTGGCAAATGATGGGACAGAGTCTCCGTAAACAGCGTCCAACTCGATTTTAATTTGCGCAGGCGTATTGTCTTTCAAATGTAAGAATTTAATCACGGCACGATATTTAATTTTTTCCATTTTACAAAAAAAACACTGACATCGACTGATACAAACGACTGTCAAACAACAACTGAGCGTCCAAAATGGCTGAAATTTTCACAAAAGTCTTTCAAAGCATATACTATTGTAGTACTAGAATGGTTTTGACGAGTAACGTCATCTTTATGTTAAGGCTCAAATCTTTTCAGACTACCTTCGTACATAAAAATGAAATGCCTCTGTAGTTTCTCATCACGTCCAAAAGATTGTTTGTAAATAGCGTCATCAATTTTAAAATAAGTAGAGTTGAGAACGAGTGAAACCCTTCTAATAAATTCCTGCTTTGGTTTTTGATTGGCCTATGCTATCGGCCTGGAAACCGATGTGAGCATCCACCTTCATCTAAAACTACAATTGACGGTTACCGCATAGACACGCGACTCCAATCGCCACGGTTATATTTCTTGTGCTAATGCTTCCGAGTTTTATTTAACTTTATGTATTATTCTCGCTCGAAGATGGCTCAATATAGAGCCGAAACGTTCGTATTACCATTATACTTGAATTTATATTAAAGAATTTTGTTTACCGTGCAAAAAGTATTAGTTTTAATAAATTTACCACCCACTAATAACCGTTTTGACTCTTAGTGCCTTTTCATTTGCAATCTTATTATAATTTTATAACTTGTCCCTTATTTCAAAAAATTAAAAAAAGTAAAATTTTGATAGTTCCGCAATTTTCGAATATTGAATTTTCTTTATTTGTACTGAATTGTGCTCGAATTTTAAAACTGTTTTATATTAGCCTTTTCGACTAAAACTGGAATGTGAAAAAATATGTGATAAAAAGAAAAAAACCGATGTTTTAAGACCTCGCACTTTGCGATATTCTCAGTTTTCTTAATTGTGCTAACATTGTGCTAAAATATTATTTTTAAAAAACAATAACAATAAAAGATATGATAAAAAATATATTTGGAAAATAAAATATATAAATGCCAATTAGTCAGATGCCTTGTATCAGTCCATACAATATACAATTGCAAATCTAACTCGTACTCGCCTAGCACAAGTTATCAACCTTCAGTTTCGTTAGCACAACGATACAAAGAGTACTTTACTTTTGACTGCGGTCTTTCGCGCTCGGATTTTATGCTCGAAATTTGAATTTGTAATTATTAAGCAATTATTAATAAAGTGTACAATTAAAAAAAATTGAGAAAATTGTAAAGTGCGGGAATAGCTTTAAAACATCGTTTTTTTACTTTATCATATCTTTCACATTTCGATTTTAAAATTCGAACACAATATAGCACAAACCTAGCATAATTCAGCACAAAAAATTCAATATTTAAAAAGTGTATGGAGCTAAACAAAAATAATTTTTAAAATATTATTTTATATGAATATTTTATATGATTTGAATTTTTGTTCTTATTTTTACGGCATAATATAGCACAAACTTCCCATACAGCACAAATGACTGTTTGCCGACTAATTGTCGATTTTTTTTAGTCGACTTGAAATCGACTTATAAAGTCGACATTTAGCCAACTGTTTCTGTAATGACTTCTGTCGACTTTACTTGTCTTACAATAAATCGATTTAAAGTCAACTATTTCTGAGGATATTAAAGCTGACTTTTTTTTAGCCTTTTCGACTAATATTGTCAAATTTATGTTCATTTTTAATTATACAGATGCGTTATTAAATTATAAGAATTCTAATTTGATATTTATATTTGGCGCCAAATCAATATTGCGAGCATTAAATTGAACACACCATTAAGCGCTAGTATAATTCTTTCTGAGTTTGTTCGATTTCTATCCGGCGTTTACATTAGATTATATGGCAACGCAACGCGTGATATTAGTAAAACATGATTCGATGTGATTAGCGATACAATCCAAGGTAATCTTCTCTTTTTTCTTGATATTAATGAAAACTATAAAATAAATTTAGAAGACGTTATTAAAAATACAATTTTAAAAATATTTTTTCGGATATTTGCTAATTTCTCGAAAAATTAGTGCTTTTCAAAATTTGAGGTTACGTTATAAAATTGTAAAATTAATAAAGCAATATTATCTTTTTTTGTTACTCTTTGATGAACGTTGTCGTAAATTAATATTTGCTATTTAACTTTTAATCTGCTTTTACAGAACAGATTCAAAGGAACAATTGCGATTTTCTGCTCTGGTGTCTGTGCTGTCTTCTCTGTTCAGAGGTAAATTCTTTTATAAATTAATACTACAATTTCATATTCTTTTAATATCTGTTGTAACAAAATATTTGCTATTTAACTTTCAACTTTCTGCTTTTACAGAACAGACTTGAAGGAACGATTACGATTTTCTCTCTCGTGCTTTCGCTGTCTTCTCTGTCTTCTCTATTCAGAGGTAAATTCTTTCATAAATTAATATTACAATTTTATGTTCTTTTCATATCTACGTAAAAAAAATATTTGCTATTTAATTTTCAATTTGCTTTTATAAAACAGGAGGATTTGACGGAGCGATTGCGATTTTTTACTCTCTGATGCCTGCGCTAGCTTCTCTATCTATTTGAAAGTTCCATAATGTAAAAATTTATGTTTGTAATGTTGACATTTGAAATGTTTCATATTTTATAATAAAAAGCTTTGTAAAAAGAATTGCATTTAATTTTTTATTATATAATAATACTACTATTAATACTACTAATTAATATATAATACTACTGTTAATATTACTATGAATATGACCTAAAAATTAACTTATTTATTAACTAATAGTCTACTTATTGTCGACTAAAAGTCGATGTAATAACCTAATTGATGTCGACTTATAACATTGTTTGAAAGTTGACTTATTGTCGGCCAAAAGTCAGCCTAGTCGCCATAACCAAGTAAAAAATGTCAGCTTACAGTTGTCATAAAGCCGATCTTAAGTCGATTGATATGGCTAACTTATAGCCGACTATAGTTGGGACTATAGTTTGTCGATTATTAGTCGGCTATAAGTTGACATTCAGTCTAACTTTAAAGTCGACTTTAGAGTTCTTCTGCAAACTTATAATCGACTAACAGTCGATTTTGTACTGTTTGGGTTAGCACAATTCAGTACAATTAAAGAAAATTCAGAATTCGCAAAGTGCAGGGCTATCAAAATTTTTACTTTTTTTTAATTTCTTGAAACATAGAATGAGTTATAAAATTATTATTTTGCGGCACAATTAATAAAAATATAAAATTTAAAAAATGCGGGACTAACTTCACATACGTCCTAACCTTGCTGTTGTATGAGTTGCTTTCTGTTCCTACATTCTCTCTTCTTGCTTCCAAATCTTCGAATCTTTTTTCTAACCATTTTTTCAACTCGTTAAATTTATCTTTAATTGCTTTCATTCTACATTCTCATGTCCTTTCTTTATTTTTTATCGCTTCTAAATACTCATTACAATCTTTTTTACTTCCCTCGATTTATTTATTTCTTTATTTATCTGCTTACCTAAATTTCTTTTAATCTCTTCTATTTTTCTTGTCATTTTATAGTTCTTATCTTCTTTAAATTTAAAAATTACTCTTTCTCCATGTTCTTTATTCTCTGATACAGCTTTCTTTACTTATTTTCCTGTTTTATCTGCTTTTACCGGCCAACATCACGCCCCTCTCTCCTCTTATCTGCTCTTTAGATATCATATAATCTTTACTTTCTGTTCATCTAAATTCTTACAATTTTTTTCTTATTTTGCGTTTATTCACACTTGTTAATCAAATATTTAAATTCATATAAAATAAAAACATCTCTCATAAAAACATATAAAATAAAAACATCTCTCATAAAAACATATAATAAAAACATCTCTCATAAAAACATCTTAAGAGAAATGCTCAAGAGAAACATCTTAAGAAAAATATATTTTCTTTTAAAATAGATTTTATTATTTATAATTTTTATTTGTGATTAATTTAAAAAGAAAAATTTATTGCTAATTTTATTGAAAATATATTTCTCTTAAGATGTTTCTCTTGAGCGTTTCTCTTTAAGATGTTTTTTATTGAAAGATGTTTTTATTATATGAATTTAAGGATTTGATTAATAAGTGTGAATAAACACAAAATAAGAAAAAAAATTGTAAAAAATTTAGACGAACAGAAAGTAAAGATTATCTAAAGAGCAGATAGTATGGTGAGAGGGAAAGGGCGTGACGTTGACCGTCGATAAAGCAGATAAAATAGGAAGGTAAGCAAAGAAAACTGTATCAGAGAATGAAGAACATGAGGAGAAAGAGTAATTTTTAAGTTTGAAGAAGATAAATTTTTTATTATTTAATAATTAAGCTACGAATACAATTTTAAATTTTTAATTTTGAAACTAAAGGAGAGAAGGCCAGATTATGAGATAGATGTAGAATAGTGAGACATCACGATATTTCGTATAGTTTGCGTTGAAGTTTAGGAGCAACCGTTCAAATTATTTTATTATAGCCTATTTAGATATTGCAGAACAGTTACTGGTCATTAGTATTCATTACGTTTTTATAAAAGCTGAATTTCAGTTTTGCATGTAGCAAAGACTTTTATAGATATATACTCTATGTAATTTCGAGAAGTATGTTAGATATTAACTTTGTAATTTTGATTTAACTTGAAGACCTTAAATGTGATTTTCAAATAATGTAATTAAACTTAACGTGTGACATAATATGTGTATGAATTCGACAAATAAAGTTATATTATGTAGAGAGGGTCATGGACCACTTGCATTATGAGCATAAACGTCACGAGTCTCGAAAAGTCCCATCGTCGCATCCCAGAGAACATTATGACACCTTAAAGATGTTTAAAAAATGTCTTAAATATTATAAGACATCTTATTAAAAATTTTATAAATAATTTTATAATTTTATAAATTATTATAAATTATTATAAATTATTATAAAAAAAATATTTTTAAGACGTCTTTAAGATGTCTTATGACCCAATTTATAACGTCTTTGGAATATCTTAAAAACGTCTTATTTTTTAATAAATGACATTTTTAAAATGTCTTTCAGACGTCCTATTTGAAATTTTTTGGACATTCTATAATGACATAAAAATTAATTATACGAAAAGTATTGACAAGAGAGAGAATACGAGGCAGAATTTAGATATACTTAATAAATTGATACATCATTCATATAATAGTTACACAACTTTGATTTATCTATTGTAATCAGAAATCAATCCTAATAACACAAAAATGTCCTCAAGACGTCCTTAGAACGTCCTATTAGATAAGCTGGATATCCTAAGGACTACTTATTATGATCCAACGTAAACAGGACGTCCTGTGGACTAGCAAATGAGCGCCTCATTATGTCCTCGAGACGTCCTTAGGATGTTCTCCACAATCTCAGGCTATCCTGAGGACTTTCTTAAGTCGACTTTAGGATGACTTCAGGGATATCCTGAAAACGATGGCGTTCCGATATTGATTGCTAGTATTGAAAATCTATAATATACGTGACACCTCTTACGGAAAATAATAATAAAAAAAAATTAAAAAATTAAAAAAGGAGAGAAAATAATGAAATACCTTTTATCTCATATCATCCCATGTTTCTAAAACCGGTCATCCACTCGGAAATCCTTCTCGATGTCGCTTAATCTCTGTATTAGGATGAAACCTGCTACTGAAATGATGAAATAAGTGATTACAGGATTTCGGCTTAAAAGATAATAAATCTGGTTAATGAATGTTACTATATTGTCGTATAAAGAGTCTCAATTTTAAAATCTCGATTGCACATGTAATTCTAGATAATTTAATTACATACATAGAGCCGTGAACCTATATTGTATTTAATGAGAATCACTTTCCTTATGAAAATTGTTGTATATATTTTGCTTACTTATTTATGAGTTTGTTAATAATTATATTAAATATGGGAAATATTTTTCTTATTTATATTATATATTATAGTTAATTGAGAAAGATAGTAATTAATAATGTTTCATTATTTATTCATTAAAAATGTCTAAAAAATAACGATAAATGACGACATATTTATGGCGATAATATTTCGTGATAAATGTTACGTTTATTTTTACGTCATTATTTAGTACACTGTTTTACATCATTATTTAGTACACTGATGACGAATGACGAAAAATGACTTTAAATCATCGTCATAATGACGTCATCTTGCTACTTGGGCCAGAATATGTTATTATGATATTTTCAGAATACGTTTCAGGACTGTGTCA